TTTTTTTTTTTTCATATTTTTAAATCAACTATATTTTATAGCCCAAATAATTGAATACTATAGCAATAGATCAAATTGCTATAAACTATTACTAGTCGAACTGTCGAAATATAATTCGGCGAAAACTAAACACGCGCGAGTCGCAAACACAAAGGTAAAATAAGGCACGAGGCAACACGCGCGGCATGAAATAAAAATTCTTAAGAATTTTGTCTCTTGCAAAACATATTATTAGCTAATGGATGGTGGTCACCATTACCCTTATGTCAGTCATTTATTTATCATACTTTTCGACACTTCTACAAGAAAGTTTGACGCTCTACAGTTCTCTAAATTTCAACGGATTCAAGTTAAAAAAGTAAGTTTTTTATACTATATACTGAATATGTAGTATATTATTAATGTATACAGTTATTTTCGAGTTTTGTTCAAATTATTTAAATAAATATCGACTTATAGTTATATAGTTTATTAAATATAAATTAATTACCGAATTGTATAAGTCTATAATATCTTAGATACCTACCTACTTAAATCAGGAAATAATTTTTTAAAAGCAGTTAAATTTAAATTTTTAAATGTTTATACTAAGTAGATATAAAGTATACAATTTATTTCATGTTTATCCTTGAAATTATACATGAAAAAATATTACTTTAAGGTTCTGAGTGGAGCGAAATATAAATATAGTTTTACTATATATAATGTTTATTGGTTTAGGTATTATTATTAATATTTTTTGTAACACTTTTTCGTACCTATAGAAATGCTTGCCTGAGAGTTTACATAAGCAACTTTTTGAATCAGAATTTGCCTCTATATGGTACTTTTTGAAGGTAATTTTCGAAATACTCAATAGTTTTTCCAAAATTTTCCAAAAAAGCCCTATAAAACTTTTTTTTTATCCAAACTTTATGTAAATTTAAATATAGATTGATAATAATATAAAAAATATTTTTGTGAAAGGAAATTTTGAATATTTTAAATTTTCTCAAACACTTATTTCTCATAAAAAAATTAATTTTTTTGGTCTTTAATAATAGTAGAATATAAAACTGATTGAACAAAAATTTAATTTTTTTTTTTTTATTAATGGCATTAAATTGTAATTTGTGTAATAATTAATCTCTAAAAAACTACATTCAAAAATATTGATATACCACCCAGACATTATAAGGGTAACACGGTACTTCTGAGACATACTATTAATAGATATAATTTATAAATTATAAGTTACTACCTATAAAAATAAATTTATTTAATATAATTTATTGAATAATTGTTATATTAGATAGCTACTTAAATATTGACGAATTTACTAAAAACTGGTTAAATGATATTGGATTTCAACATTTAGTGAATAAATTTGAAGGTAAAGCAAAAATATAATATGAAAAGAACAGTTTTAAAAAATATATATAAATATAAAAACATTATACTCGGTAAGTTGTCTTCGCAATTAATATAATATAAGGCCATTTTATGACTGAATGCTGCTGTAATGAGCGAACAAAAGCAAATTAAAATAAAAATAAAAAAAATGACTGAATACAGATCAAAAATATCCATTTATTTGATTGATTCAGACCTTCTAATGTTTTAATCACTTTTGATGATATTATAATTTGATATATTTTACTTAGAAATTTGTAGGCAAAGTGCATTTTTTTTTTTTTTTTTAATGAAACTTTATATTTCCAAAATATTTAAATGGCGGAATTATATGAATCGATTTTTTAAAGACAATTTTTGTCAAACAAATATTTTTCAAAACTCAAAATCAATTTTGATATAAATTAATTTTATATTAAAAAATATATTATTAAAATATATTAAACGTAGGTAGTTAAATTTCATCAGCAATGACAAAACATTTTAGTAATTTTTTTCAAATAAACTTAGAAGGTATAACTTATGATAACATTAGATAAATATGCTTTAAAGAGTATATATTACAAGTATATCCCCTAAAATATTTTTTTTTTAGATTTTATCTCTATTTATTTAGTTATTTTCTATTTTTCAAATTCAAGTTTTAACTAAATAAATAAATATTTGTTACATTATTGTTTTTATTTATTCAAAATCGATTTTATTTATCATACATTTATTTTTGGTGATAAATAAACCATTTTAGGAGAGATACCTATGTATTATTTTATGTTTTTAGAGGAAGAAATTAATAAAACAATTTTGATGATATTAACTGAGTTAATGTTGAAAGATTTAATTCCCAAAATTGGTCAAAGAGCCAAGTTTATTAATGAGTTGGAAAAACTAAAAATACTAAGTTCAGTAAGTGTAAACCTTAATGTTTATTATATTTATTCAATTTGATATCAATTATTAAATGTTTTTTTTTTTTTTAATTGTTTCCCCAAAATTGTATTTTGACTTAATTAGGAAGTTCAGTTAAAAAATGAAATATTATTGACATTTTAGTCAATGATGAACATGACTGTTGTGACAGATGAAAAAGGTAATTAAAAAAAAAAATTAACATAAGTTTAGGTCAGTGTTGGTCTGGCTTGTGATTGAGCTCACTATTTAAATACACTATAATAAAGAACTACAACAATCATAATTCATTAAAATAAAATAAATTTTTAAATTAAAATGAATTATACCTACTTGAAAATATGTTCAGTATAACTAATATTAATATTTTAAAAATTTCTGAAATTTATCATTGCAATTACAGCTTGTGTTATCTACATTACTATTTACCAATGTTATTAATTAATTAAATAGTTTATATTCTTAAAGAAACAATTTAATTAAAATACTTAGTCAATTTTCTTAATTAATTCTTAAGTTAATACATTATTAGTGATCTTTTAATTTAAACACTTGGTTACATATTTTGCTAGTTACAGTACAAATTAGAAAATGTATTAATTTAAAGAAAACTTAGGTATATTAATTGTTCAAATCAGTCAGTTTTTTATTTGATTTTGAATATTACTTTAAATTTTAGAATTTGACTGAGTACAAAAAAGAGTATAAATTTAATGCAAATAACCAATACAAAATATATTATATTAGTATTTAGGTGAATAATTTCAATTTAATATTTATTTATGTCAAGAAAAGGACCAATTTTTTGTGGTATTTTCAATGTTTAAATTTGGTGTTAAGCTCCTTAATTATCAAAACAATTAGTACCTATAAAAAACCCTGGATAGCTAGGTGAGCCAGACTGACAATAAAATTATAGTAGGTACCTAATTAAAATATATTTTGTATATTATAACACAATTAAAATCAAATTATATTATATAGATGTATCATATTACAATGTAACCACAGAGCCATTTCAAAATAATGCAATTGATACTTTAAATATTATTCAACAAGAAACTAATCAGTCAGGTATAACATAATTTATTAACAATCACTTATTTAATAAACACTTGGTTTTATAGAAATAAAATTCTATATGATAATGAAAATAAATTAAATTATAGATCATTTTATTAAAAAAAACATTGGAGCAATACCAAGATGGTCTCTTTATACTACAACACTTCAAGTCATATGGGTCATTAAATTCAAAAATGAGAAACCGACTTTGTGGAATATTAATAAAAGATGAACTTTTTAAAACTAAAGGTGCAAATAAAATTGAGAAGACACAATTTTCGAAAATTGCAAATGGTAGATATTCGTAACATTACATATAGGTATTTTGACATTTAAAGAATGATGCATGTAGGTTATAACATATATTTCATTAGCAATTAATCATTATAAACAAAATATATTAGACACTGTAAAAACATTTAAAATTAATTTATATCTAAGATGTTTTTTTAATTTATTTTATTTTCAACTCTACAACTATAACTCTATAAAGCAACTTATTTTTAATAATGTAATAGGTAAATGTTGTATAAGTTTAATACTATGTATATGTTTGTTAAAAACTATAATAAATAAAAAGGGATTTTCATACTCGATAGGTATAGAAGAATTCTTTCCTTCAGAAAACAAATACGTCTATTCCATCCCTTATTATAAAGAAGGTAATAAAGTGAGTCCTAATCGAGGAAAATTGTATGACAAATATTGCAATTTAAAAAACGAGATAAAGAAAATATATTTTCAAAGTAATAAAAAACATAATAAGGACAATGAAGTTTTTATCAATGAAGAAGGTATCTATTAATTATTTTTAATTTTTTATTTTTAATAAAATATGATTCTTATAATGTGAAATTGACATTAGAATTAGATATTTATTATAATATTAATTTGTAATTCTTATTTATTAATACTTGTTGCATACTTATATTAAATAAATATTTTAGATTCAATAAATTGGCTAAAACATAATATAGAACCAGAAATCATTTTACACCAGTTATGGGCTGAAACTGCTCATTACAGAAATACTAAGCTAATCAACGAAAATGCTATTCACAAATATCCAGCTTTAAAAAAGGCAATAGGTCACATACTTGTAAGTTTAGTCACACAAACTACAAAAGGTGTCCTTATGCCATAATATATTTAAAAAATATTTGAATTGCAGTATATTTAATTAATATTAAAATAAAAATAAATAAATTTATTGCTTTTAAATATATATTTTTTAAATCTTAATAATAAAATAAAATTTTTTTTTTCAAATAAATAATAAGAAATATACACAATGATTTTTCTTAGATTGATATGGATTTTTCTCACTTATTTCCATCGAAAGACCAATATCTTTTACAAAAATTTGATGTATTCAAAAATAAATTAAAAACATATTTTAAAGGACAGTTAAATTTAAATGTGTTTGAACAAAATATAATTAAAAAAATTATATTACCTGCTAAATTAGGCAAGTTGTTTAACTGTTAACATAACATTACTAATAAAAATAAAACTGGAGTTGGTAAACAGAAAGGTTGGTACTTATCTGTAATTTGTTTTAGGTAATGATGATTTAGCAACTATTCAAATTCTTCCATACCTATTCAAACCAGTGAATATTAAAATTCCAAAGAAGACTGCCAATGAGGACAATCAAAAAACAATTAAATATTGTATGCAGAAACCATCAAAATTAGAACAAGCTAGTGCTGTGATAGTCAATATCACAGTAAGTTATAAATATTTTATTTTGTATTTATCTAATATTTTGTCTCAAAATTAAAATATTTCTTATAGGTACACAAGTATTTATAGGTAGTTTTAATAAAACAATAGAAAACATAAAATCCCAATACCTAATGCTTAACATTTAAAACATAAAATAACACTAAAATATAAATTAAGTAGATACACTTACACTATACACTCAAGTTATAACTAGTATAAGCCATCATTTCTTAGACTATTTACCTACATTGTTAAATTAATAATTATTTAGTTTGTAATCTAATAGCATCTAATAGCTGTTGTAAACATTTTATTAAATGATACCAATACCACAGAATAGATACCTTACCTAAATGATATCTATGATGTGCTTTCTTATCATTAATAAATTCTAAAATTCAAATATCTAATTCAGTTTAGTGACGGGAATAATCAAGTGAGAACACTCAAAATACTCCATTGTTTGATTTAATCAATTATCTCGATTATTTTGAAAGCAATTGAGTGATTATCTCGGTATTGAACTAAATTAACAGAGAGGTAATTTTTCGAGTATATCACTCGATTGTAACATCTTGATATTTTTAATCTTTCGTTTATCAAAAATCTCTCTGATGTTCCCATCACTATAATATAGTATAATATATATATACCTAATATTATTAGGTCTATTTTATTAACACTTTATGGTGTAACTATATTATTAAAGTACTAAATACGGAATTAATTTAAAATTGCTTATTTCACAGAATAGTAATGACATCAAGACAACCCATGAACAAAAAGTGAATAGAGCATTTATTAATAATTTAACTGTTCAACCATATATCGCCATCGTGGGGAATATTGAAGATGCTAGTAGTATAATGAACTACTATACTGTAATTGACAATATTTATTTCGAAACACCAATTAAGGCGTTAGATATTTGTTTTAAATCATTCCATGCATTAAATTTAAATTATCCTCCAGAAGCTGAGCAGGTTTGGTGGTTTATTCAGGGTTATTTTTTTGAAATAGCAAATGTTCATAAAAAAAAATTTGTGACTGTTCAAACTTTAGCTAAAGATTTGCAATAGCAGTTTCCAATTTCAATTTAATATAAGTAGGTACTTTTGCTAATAGCAATCTTGTATAAATAAATAGTTTAAATAATTTGTAATACTATTAGTAATTATTATTATAAGTAATATTTAAGTTCTTGTGCACTTAGGTACCTATCTACAATCTTTCTTTATTATGTAAATATTTTTAAATTTTGTCATCTATATTATATACCAAATTTGATAATTTATAATAATTATTTTTAATATCTTATTGTTATGATGATTAACTGTTTTTTATGTTCTTATGAGGCCGAATGCCTAAATCATTTGTTTAGTCATTTTAATATATATCATGATTTAAAAACAATAGAAACATTTAATTGTCCATATCAGAACTGTTTAAGTATTTTTAATAATATTAATACCTATAAAAGACACCTTAAACAACGACTTAAATTCTAAATCCACAAAAGACATACCTAATAAAAATGTTCAATCTGTAAATAATAATCTATTCGAACAAACAATAAACTGTGTACTGTCTTCTGATAATGATACAAATTTAAGTTTAAGTACTATAGATGATAATAAACAAAATCATAATTTTCCTGAATCTGATAATTTAAAAAATTTACAATCATTAGCTTTAAGTATGATTTGTAAATGGTATAGTGACACAGTTATTCCCCGAAATAAAATTGATATTCTAATTAATGATATCCAAGATTTTGTCGATTCAATTGTTTCAGTTCTTAGTACTAAAAATCAATAAATTTATTTGTAATTGTAAGAATTCTAATGCGAAAGATGAATTATTAGTAGTTCTTAGCGAAATGAAAATTTTGTCAGATCCATTTGTTAGCATGAAAACTGAATATATGAGATTTAAAACACTCCATGATCTAGGAGTATTATTTTAACCAAAGGAAATAGTTATTGGGCACCGATTAGGAGATAGATTAGTTAATGGTAGAGTTGCAGTAAATCATGAGGAAATTAAATTATGTTTAACGCCACTTAGAGATATTTTAAAAAAAGTTCTAGAACACTCAAATTTATTAGATGTAATATTAAAATATACAGAAAATATGTCTACCAGTAAATTTATGTACAACTTTATGCAATCCAAACAATGGCAATTGAAATGTCAAAATAAATTTCCAAATAAAACAATTTTCCCTTTATTTTTATACTATGATGATTTTGAAGTTAACAACCCACTAGGTTCCCATGCTGGTTCACAAAAGTTAGGTGCAGTATACATGTCATTAGCATGTTTGTCTCCTGAGTTATCTTCATCATTAGACAATATATTTTTATTATCACTTTTTAAAACCAGCGACAAAATTTTTTAAATACTTCTATAGTCGGATAGTTATTGTTTTTAGTAAATTATAATAATTTCAATTATAATTGAAATAAAATAGATACATTTTTGATTAAAAAAATACAAGTAGTAAGAGAGAATACAGATGAAGACAATTCCAAAACAGAAAAAAACTCTTCATCTCCTGTAAATACCTCGTCAAGTTTTAAAGATAAATCAGAAAGATCTACTATTTTTTGAGTTATGGGAATCAATCTATTTATTTTTAATACCGACATAAATATTTTCAGTCAAAAATGACTAAATTTCCAATTAACCATTGACTACTTTTATTTTTATATCATAATAATAAGGACATAATTTCCGAATTAATTTATTTAGAAACGCATGGTATTTTTATTACTTCAAATAATAAAGTTCACCACATTTACTTCTCCTTAGGTTTAATTATTGGAGATAACTTAGGGTTACATTCAATATTAGGATTCACGGAAAGTTTTGTTGCTAACTATCCTTGAAGATTTTGTAAGAATCGTATGTCGTACACAAATATCACAAGTAGATACAAATCTTAGAAATATAACAAATTATACTGACGATCTCATTAAAAATGATGTATCATTAACTGGAATAAAAGAACCTTGTGTGTGGAATTAAATTGATTTATTTCATGTTACAGATAACTATAGTGTTGATGTTATGCATATGTTAGAAGGTGTATGCAACTACGATATTGGTTTGATGTTAAAAAGAATGATTTTTGATTTGAAATACTTTTCATTGAATACATTAAATAATAGAATCGAATTATTTGACTATGGCCCAATTGATATTCGAAATAGACCAACTTTGATTTCTAGTGAAACTTTGAAAGTTAAAGCAATACTAAAAATGTCAGCAAGTGAAATGCTTTGTTTTGTTAAAAATTTAAGACTAATGATAGGTGATTGGGTTCCTTGAAATTCTGAAATTTGGACAGTATGCATTATTCTCGATAAGATTTTAAATGTAATATTATCGAAGTGTATTACATTTGAAGATTCATTTATACTTGAAAATTTAATCACAGAACACCATGAAACGTACCTAAAAATAATTCGTAATAAAAATTTAAAGCCAAAGCACCACCATATGGTCCGTTATCCATTAATACTACGAAAATCTGGACTATTACCATTACATTGGTCAATGCGTTTTGAAAGTAAACATAAAGAACTAAAAACAACTGCTAATTCGACAACTTCTAGAAAAAATATTGTAAAAACATTGTCCCTAAAACAACAATTAAGACTTTCATACAGATTATTATTCCCCAAAATTGATTACTATACAATTCCAATAGAAATAGGACCTGCAATTAAAATAAGTCAATTGGACATTGACTTATATAATGAGTATTCAGGTCATTATGATTTAAATAACCGCGACGTTACATTTTTTGTTTCATGGGTAAAAATGAATGGGCTTTTATATAACTCTAAGAGTATGTCCATTATTATAAAGGTATGTGATGAAAACAACGATATGTTACCATTATTTGGGTTTATTAAAAGTATTTTCATTGTGAAAAATGAACCATTTATTATATATGTTTTATAAAAAACCATTTTTTATGATGAACATTTTGGAGCATTTAAAGTAATATTGACCAACAAGTTAAATTTTATAAAACTTAAAGACATAGAAAACAGTTTTCCTGTTCACTATAAAAGCATTAATGATGGAAATATATTGATAAAAATGTAAATAACCAAATTGTTTTATTATTGTACTACCTATATTATATTTAGGTTACTTATATTTTTGTCGCTAAGACTACACAATGTAATAACTAGTATGATATTTAAAAACAATATTATTAAAAAGCTGTCCTAATTATATTAAATATTAATTTTATACATTTTTTTTTTTTATTATTATTTATTGTAAAAAAATCTATACTATTTGTTTAATGAAAATGCACCACGTCGCACATGGCAAGGCACCAAGATGAAACTTGGAACAATTACGAGTAAATACTCCACCACTTACAATTAATTATTATTAAATTTGTTATATGACATGCATGGGCTCGACCAGATTTGTGTCCGCTGCCCATGGTGAATTCTCATTTGAAAAAAAGTATATATGTCCATATAATATAATATATTGTATATTTAATCTATGATATGTCCTATTGTTATTTATTTTTTGGAATAATAACTTATACAAAAACTTTGATATATTGTTATTTTAATTAGTCACCAAATAACCAGTAAATTTGTTACACAATAAATAAATAAATATTGTATTTACAAAAACGAAATTATATTTGGTTACTATATTTAACAACGATCTTTTAAATTTTATAAGTAATATCATGTACTAGTCAAAAAAATAGCAACTATATTAGGTACAATTTGAATGAATATAATATTGTAATTTTATAGTAAAAATTACTATATTTGACAGCAGGTACTGCTAAATATATAAAATAATTAAGTATAAAATTTGATTACGAATACTTAATTTTATAGTAGTGGTTATTACGAGTTATATCTCAATAAACTGTTTATTATAGTAAATTAAATTTCTGCTGTAGTGATATGACTAAACCTTCCAGTTCTAACTATTAGAAATTGTAGTGTGTACTACTATAAATACTGTTTGGACAACCAAATAAAAATATACAGTGAACTATAAAATTTTAGTAAAAATTACTTTATTTTCTAGTAATAATGACTATAATAACTTAACTAAAACATTATAGTAAATCTCACTAATATTATAGCTATCCCTACAGCAATTATAAAATACTGTTAAATCTACTATTTTAATTGTGTGTTGAACTGTTTTGTTTTTTCCGTATATGGGCATACGAAATATCTTCTATTCCTCACATGTCGTTGTTCGTCTTTTGATAATGCTTCTATGATAGCAACAACAGTAACAATTGGTGTATTTGGCATTTTTAAAATTCATAATAAGTACCTAATTGTTGGTAAAAAAAAAAATTATATGTATACGTCTGCTATAAACGATTATATTAAAGTAAGTAGGAATAAACTATAAAATAATGATTAGCGATAATCTCATATTTGACAATGATATTATACAATAATCTAGGGACATAAAATATTTAAAAATAATGTAAACGAGTACCTCGAAGTATTACGTCAAAGAAAACGTATCGTATATAGCCACTATGGCGGAAAACGCGACATCATACGGACGATCCGCGACGGAAATCACCGTGTACAGCCCAGACATGATGTTAATTGACAGAAATATATATTTTGAAGATTCCATAGCAACTATTAATAATATTTATAATACTTTTAAATTAAAAATATGTAAGGGCGCATTGTGAAGTTTCGTCCAGGGCACAATATTAGTTTGCTGCGGTACTGGATTTTAGCATAATAATTTTAGCAGTTTTTATGTTATATCCTAATGCCACTTTAAGTTATGCAAAAATTATAGCATTAATTATTTTTTACTTTCATTAAATATTGACATCAGTATAGACGCAACATTATTTTATATAATCAAATACTCAAGGTCCCAGAAGAATAAACTGAACTCAAATTAATGAATACGTTTGTTAAACGAAAATATTTGATCCATTGATGGATAATAATACATAACTTATTTACATGGAACAATTACACTGTAAACACATGGAAACATAATATACAATTTTCTACTTACAGTCTTTTCTTTCTGATATTTTG